CTTATTATGAATCATTGCTCATTAATCAAATAAACAGATAAGGGTTTGTTTATGTTTATATGTTACTGGACTGCAGAAAATTATTTTAATTTAAAAAGCTTTTTTTGTAACACATTTTATCATCTGGATCTCAGACACAGCTTGTATTTTGTAGTTTATCTTCAGATAAACATAATCAATAATAAAACTTGACCAAAGGAAATTTCTCTTTTAAACATTAGCTTTTTTTTTTTTTTTTATCTTGGATAGATCTCAGAACAGCTGTGCTGATCAAAGCACTCTCAGGTCAGCCAGAGTTTATGAAATCACTTAACTCTCCAAACTTTCACTTCTTTGCCCCATGATTATTTTACCAGTTTCATGAATTTTGAAAAATGCTTAAGGGCAAGACACCTGTTTCAAAGCTAAAAAAAGGAAGAAAAAACCCAGAAGAGTTCCATCCAGTTTCTGTCTTGCATCTGCATGGGAAAATTTACTGCAGAATATAGCATAATGCATATTAGCCTCAGGGTCAATGTTTTCAATAACCACTAGGAGTTCGATAGAATGGCTTGTCATGTCTGCTGATCCATTGGTTTGCATTTGTTACATTTTCAATGAATTTTAAAACATGTTATACACTTCCACATTTAAATTACACCTCCACATTTAAATTTAATGGGACTACTGAAAATTTTGAACTTAAGCCAAATGAGGTAAGGGTGCAGGCCTTATCAACATGTTTAGCTGGGTTTGTCTCTCATATGGCTATCGCAGATTGAAAGAGGTTAACAGTCCTTGAAGCTGCAGGAACAACTTAGAGACAAACCTTTAAGTGAAAAGTTATCTCATTAAACTGAGTTGGACAGGTTAGTTCAAAAATCACAGTGAAGTGTAGCTCAGAGAAAATAGAGCAATATTTATCAGCTGGGAACACCATGTCTAACTATGGCATTTTAGGTCAAAGTCTCTTATCATGTAGGTGCTGTAGAGGCCAGAAGGCCAAACCACAAAGAGTTCTAGACCAGAAATTCACTAATGAGGTTATCTTTGTGGTAATCTGTCCACTAAAGTACCTGGAACATTCTGAAATGTGCCGAGACTCAGCTGGTCAGTACCCTGGTCAGTAAGCAAATTACAGTTATAATCATTCAACTGATAATAAACTAGTTCTACCCTTGATTTTAATGACCTATTAATTAACTATAACTCCCAGTTCTAGTTATCTAATATATTCATAATATTCTGGTAAGCTGGCACAACAGTCTAGAACATCAGAACACAACACCACTTCCTCCAGGTTCAATGCTGATTTTTTTTTTTTTACAGTTTAATATTCTATATTGTTATAACTAATAACTATCAATACGCAATAATAACTACTATTGTAATATTATTTGTGCTCTACTGTAACATATGTATGGTGAAATATAAGAAATGCCACTCAGCATGTTGTTTGATACACAGAAAGGAATATTGCTCACAGTCCCTTTCTTTAAGTCTGAACCATATTTCAAAGGTATTTTCTGATAGTTTTGTCTTCAAAGGGCACTGCGACCCTTTGCACAATTCAAGCAACAACAAAAAAAAAGAAATGCAGTCATTACTGAGATAATTCCTTTTGTGAGCTTCCCAGAGTGCTTCCAGACCTCTTATCTGTCTGTTACAAACACAGCTTGTCCTGTTTTTTTGACAGTATTGCACATTCTTATCAGGTGAGGCACTTAAGTACATGGATAATAGGTGCAGGAACATTTTTACTGGGTCATCATCTGTTACTTAAATCTGGACAGAATGCCAAATGAAAAAAAAAACAGTGGATCTGAAATATTGAAACACAACAGTATCAACAGGTTGTTTCCATTATAGGAAACATCCAATGAATATGAAATAAGCCAAATAGAAAGATGGTTCAGGATCTGATCCAGGTCAACTATGGAGAAAAGAAAAACATTTTGTAAACACAATGCTGGTTGAGTCAAAAAAAACAAAAAACAATTCCAATGCAGGAAACTTTGCTTCTAAAATTTTAATCTCAATATTTTTTTATTATTATTATTTTAAGTGGAACAATGCCAACATTTATCGTCATGTTACCATCTCTCGTTTAACAAGTTACTCTTTGCAAAAAAAAAACTTTTCAAATGACAACAGGATGATCAAGATAATACAAAAAGAAATTTCAAAATATTCACAGTTTTTAGATTTACACATTTGTCAACCAGTTAAATACACGCAGTCAATTTACAGCTTCACGCATTGCACACATTGAAAACATATAAAACGTAGCATATAAATAAACTTAGCAATTTCTATTATAAGCACACCGTAGAATATCTGATGAGTCACTATCACTTTTCCACATCTCCTCAGTAATATTTATTGTGTTCCAACAAACAAAATGGATCAAAGTGAATCACAAAAACAGCTGCTTGTAGTAATCTATCTGCAGTAAGTTATTAGAGAAGGTAAATATAAGCAAATTCTCACTATTACATCAATAACTACCAGCAACATCACACAGACAAACAAAAAATAAAATCTTTGCTAAAATCCTTTAGTTCTGTAGCTTTTTTTTTGTGGTTTTAATGCTACAGATTCTATATTTGTGTTGAAACTGAGACACTTATGAGGTCGTAAACTCTAGTCAGCCACCTCCAGTCCTGTAGTTATACAGGAAAACAAGCACTTTAAGTGCTTTTAATTTTTCCTGTTAATTTAGAAGTCCAGCTAAAATTACCATAAAAGTTAGATGAGAAGGATAGCACAGTTTGGCAGCAAAGTACAACAAAGAATATTCTAATATTCTTAACCTTTCTTTCTATTCTGATTCTAAGCGCTGTCCCGTCGCAGATACATGATGGACGTGACCGAATTCGCTTACAGGAAGAAATAAATGGATAAAGGACAAAATTTCCCACCGATTCCCATGCCAAAGATCACTTGGTTTGTTACCCGATAACCTTTTTTTCATTGTCTTTTCAGTTTCCTGTGTCACTGAATCTCGCTCATGTTTTGTTTGAACTCCAAAAGCACATAGTCTGGGGGGAGATTTTAAAATTAAGATTGAGTAACACTTTATCCAAGCTATTATGTTTGAAAACTTGCATCTCTTTATGACATTTGGTCCAGGCTAGCATTAAGTGGATACAGTTTGGCCTTTGTTTATCTTAAATCCAGATTGGTTGATCTCTGACACATCTTGTCAGAAAGAATTCTTGTTCTAATGTCATGAAGGAATTTAAGTAATTTTGAACTAAGATATATTATTTACTTCCTCTGTGAACCAGTTTTCAGTCAAACAAAGTGCCTGATACAAAACTAAAACAATGTAAAAAAAATAATAATTCAATTTAGGGGGGAGCTTTTTTATTATTGAATAACACTGTCTTGTTTTACTGAGACCTGAATGCCTTAAACTTACATTTCAGAGAAATAATCTTCCAATTTTTAGAACATGCTAGCTAAGTAGGAGGGATTTCTGCAGTAAATGATACTTTATGGGTCAGATTGAGTCATAGGCATTTTAAGCTTACCTATCTCTCAATAGGATATTTGAACTGATAACCCTTTTATTGCAGGGCAAACTCCTGGATCCGACGCCACTGTAGCCCCACCGGTGAAATGACAGCAGTATTTTCTTCAGATTTTCTTGTCTCCAGCAAATAATGTGTGGAATTGGGATTTTCAAGACCTAAATGCTTATGATTCTCCAACTTGCATCATGAAAATGTGGATGTTCTGAAGTCCAACCCATGTTGGCTGAGAATTGACAAAACAACACTAACTACTCATTCTATTTTACTTTGCTTTACAGCCTTCTTGACTGCCTTGTCAGTTTTAAGACTCCAGTGGCAGTACGTTTTATATCTAACAAGTCAGTGGACCTTTCTGTAAATATTTTACATAATGGAGGTTTAGGGATTCAAGCTTGTGTCGGTCCACTGGAGCATGATCAGGGCTGCATCTTTGTGTAAGCATTACTCTTTTACATTATGAATCTAAGTTTCTACTTCTCTTGAAAAAAAAAAAAAAAAACTATCACATAAAAAAGCCTGTACATTAGTGTAAATCTAGAACACCTATGCTGGTAAACAATCACTGGTAGCTTTTGAAGGTTTAATTGAATCCACACTGAAAAAACAATGACTTTAGAGAGCTTTATATACACTATTCACTTGCCTGTACAACATTTAGTTACTCTCTCCGAGTGTAAACATTCAAGGACTTAGTTGTGTAAAGGTATTTCCTTTCCAGGGTCACTACACAGCCCAGTAGCTGACAAAGATTAGTGTGAAAAGTGTCGCTTGATAACGCTGGAAGCAGGCACTTGTCGGTGCCTGAAATGATAAAAACTATTCACAGGATCAGGCAAACCAAAAAGGGAATGTCACACTGATAGAAAAAAAGAAGGCAACCAGTTTGTGTTTAATAGTGAAAGTGCAGAGAAGGACATTGGCGCTCCAAAACACTCAGAGCAGCTCACTGGTCCTCATGCTTGAGCTTAAAGCACTTGAGGAAACCCTTGATCAGTTTCTCCACTACTTTTCTTTTACTATTAAAGAACTGAAAAAGCTTTTTTCCCTCACACCATCACAACACAACAGCATATTAAGTATTTTCCAACTAAAATACTGGAAGGTTTCTATTTCTTTTAGGGCTTAACTAAGTTACAAGGAGTTCTTTGTTAAACAAAGTGCTTTTGAATGAGTTCAGGATAACATCTAAGCAGGTAAGGTACAGTTCACATTTTGGAGATAATAATTACATTCTTTTATGCGTTTTTACCATTTATTGTGACAGAATAGAAAAAAAAAACAAGCAAATGATCAGAAATGTTTGACCCTGAAAATGAACCTGTCAGTGTTCACATAAAAATACATAAAAAATGTAAAAAAAAAAAAAAAATGAAAATAAGATAACTGTGAAAAAGTACACCACAGATAATTACCTATACTGATGAGTGAAGGTATTATTTTTGTTCAAAATAAATGTAAACATGGGTTTTTGCCATGAGGTTGCTCTGCTTCTTCTCTGTTTTTGTGACTTAAATGGAGGACAGGTCTTCATGACAGGAGGACGAACCCCGTCTTGTTTTGGGACTGCAACGTGTCAACATGGTGATTTGGGTGCTAAAGTTGTTGCTGCTGCCGATGGATGGATGTTGGTATTTGGTGTCTGAGCCCATGTATCTCTGCAAGTGCCACCGTCGCCATTTCCTTTTGATCTCCCCTTGGACCTACAGCGGATTAAGGAAACCCACAAACACATTTTTTAGAGCATTATTGACCGAAATTAAGTTTTTCTCTATCTGTAATATATGGTGAAAAAATAAAAATACAAACATATAAAGAATTTCCAGATTTAATGGAAAAATGCATTGGGTACAAATTTCACAAGTGTACCTAAATAATGTTGCGTTTTTAAACAAATACACAAATTCAGATGATTTGTTGTTAATTGCACCTCAGGTCTAAGCAGTATTTTTACATCTTTAAAAACAAAACACACAAATCCAGACACCAGTAAATAAAATTTTTAAAAAAAGGCTAGGAATAACCCGGAGCTAGCGTAACCTACAGTCATAGGAAAAAAGTTGGATGAGATCCGCAGAAGGCTCACAGAAGAAGTTTTTTCTCTCTGCCCAACCTGTCAAAACACATTGCCATTTGCGCGAGGAGAAAATCAGTCTGAGGGCAGACAGGTTTTCAGGAGTCCAGCCGTCCTTGAACATGGCCGCTGGATAGGCACCAAGGGAGCAATAGGGGGTTACGGGTCATGCTCAGAGACCCGGAGTGGCAGTCGGGCTCAAACTGAGAACCTCAGGATTCCAAGCTCTATGCCCTAAACACCAGACCAGCACACCGCAGACTTTGTGACCTGAAGAGTTGAGATGCTTTTGAGTTATTTAAATTATTCCTCAGGCCAATATACATTGCCTGACACTATCAATGCTAAGAGCAGGGCTCCCCTCTTGGAATTCCGACTACGGTATGTAAGTTGTAAGTTGGGAGAAGACGCACCGTCATTGGCCTGGTCATAAGACCTGGAAGAATGTATCGCCTTAAGCCCCCAGGCTCTTATATAGCCATGGAGCTAAGGCTTTTGCACTACCATTTTTCCGTCTTCTCAACTACTGCTCAAGGCTGAGGCAAGAAAAGACTTTAAACCTTCTGAGGAGGCTAAAAAGGGATTGTGGAAAGGAGTTTATTTCTTGGTGTTGGACTAGTAAGCTAACACTTTTCTTCTCGTATAGAGTCGTATATCTATTATTATTTTCGATGTTTAGTAGAAGCAAAATTCGGGAACAGGAAGCTGGTGGACTACAAACAAAAGCTAATCGAAACGCCCCGTCCGACCCAGTGGCTCTTCATTGGACCTCGCCCACTGGCCCTACGTGCCTCATGCCCTCCAAGCTGAACCTAGAAGCCTGGGGCGGTCCCGAATCAGAAAACATGGGAGGCTGGCTGGCTGACTCTTTGTTGACTTTTGGGACAGTGCTGTGGCGCTTGTGGCCACTATGGGCACTAGACCTGAAAGTTACAGGTCTAGTGAACAAAAGTTAGACGGTGTGGCTTTAAACACTTGATCATAGAAACAGAGCCCACTTTGAAAGGTTGTATATTCGGCAGAAGATTAGCAGTTTTTCATCAAGCAAAACCGTGATGCAAGCATGACTTATTTTTTATTTTTTTGCATGATTCTTTTTGGGTGCTTTAACTGAGTGCAGTTATGCTTTTACTTCGTCCAGGCTACGTGTACGGTTACTGATCGGACTTCAAGAAAAGTACTGAGATTTTTCTACATGTGGATTTTATTTCTTTTTGTATATAGTCGTAAATATTATTTCTTTCAAGATAGTTATTTATAATAAATAAGTGAGAATCCTCTTTTTCTCATTCCCTAATAGCTGTCCCACAAGATAACAAAGGACACTTTGTTTCCTTTAGCTTTAACAAAAACACACCAAACTATGATTTCTGTGTACTTTTACAACGCCTTTTGCTCACCATCTTAAAAAAAGCTGATCTTTTTTCCTTTTACCTTTTAAAATATTAAGTAGTTATTCATTGCTTGACAATGTACTAGAAAAATGGGTGTACATAATAAAGCTTATAATCTAATGAATTAAATAAAGATACTTATGTTGTTTGGAATTTGGGCAACCTAATAAGGTCCATAGTGTTATTCTTGGTTTTGTAATTTAGGAACCTTAACTTTCTTGTTGAGAAAAAAAAAAAAACTTGTACAAATTATTATTCAGACATTGTAGCATCAAGGGATTTAATCTGGCTCAGCACTGAGAACATAATTAATCTCTCCACTGAGAGCCTCAGCAGACATTGCTGCCGACATGGCCACTTCTTATTTTCATCCCGCCTAGCAGGCAGACTACAGAGCACAGCTCCAGTGACGCAAAGATTGCTGGAGTGAGCAGCCTAATGCCTCTAACAACCATAGGACTGTATATGAATGTAAATGGTGAAGCAAAGTAGGAGCAGAGAAACCCCAATGAGTATTTGTGTGAATGTTTAATCAACATACCTCAGCATTGAGGAAGCAGTAAAGGACTGCGACCACAAAGCCCTAGAGAAAAAAAAGAACAGATGTTAGTGTAATACAATGGGATATTAATGGAATATTCTGATGAGTTTGTTTATCTTGCCTTTACAACTACAAAATAAAATTAAGAACAACATGTATTCTTTGACAGAACACCCAATAACGTAGCTTTTATTTTCTGGCAGCATTCATCCTATTTTCTCATTGGTTTAATCAAAATAAGGAATCTTTTTCACAAAGAAGTCCCACATAAAGGACCTTATAACCCATTTTTGGTTCTTTAAAGCATTTAATGTGTGGTTCTCATGAACATTAATAACACCAGCTATAAAATCAAATGACACAAGTTTGCTCCTAAGTGATGCACATACAGTCCAGAGGATGGTGATGCGTATATCTTTATGTGTGGATCCTTTCTTATGTTTTCTTATGTTTACCCAACATCTCATTAATGCATTTCTACAGTGAAATTGTAATGCTTTATTTAAGTAACTGCTCCTTCAATTTTATAAACAAATTAAAATAGTTGTATGTTTATTTGTTAAAGAACATGCCAAGGATTCTTTTGGCGAGTCAAACAAATCATAATGGGAGGAAAGAATCTGCTTAAGTGCCTTACAGATGGTGCAGAAGTGACTTGATAATAATGTTACATAATCTCATGATACTGCAGACACTCTGTCTGCACGGTGACGAAGATTAACTCGTCCCAGCATACCAGATGCTTGAAGTGACCTTTTCAGAGAATAATTAATATAGATAATAACAGAGAGCTTCATAAAAAACAGGGTTTTCATTGCTGAGCAATGAATTGCATGGAGAGCTTAACTTCTCTTTGTTAGTAAGTTCATTTGTAATAATGCTTATAAAATTTTCCTCCACAAACTAAAGTTACTGACATCTGTCTGGGCTGCTCTTAGACCTCAGCTATCGGCCCAGTTATAATAAGACAAAATAAGTCTATAGTTCTTGTTTTCTAATTTTTATTTGGTTGTTTAGCCCTTTAGGAATCTATAAAACAATTTTATATCTTTTGGACATTTGTTTGAATATACACGTTTTCTATAATTTTCCACAAATAAAACATTTCATACCTGAAATGATCCCAAAATCAAGTCAAAAATCAGCCGTAATTCCGTCTTCACTTGCTCTGGGATGAAAGCAAACACTATAAAATTGATTCCAAACAGAGGAATCAGAAGCAGCGTTGATTTCGCAAGTCTCCTGAAACGACAAAGCCGTAGATTTAAATCCATCCACTTGCTTTATCCATCAAAACCATTTTTAATCAGTTGCTTTATAAAGAAGGCGACTCTGACATACTTTTCCTTTTACATTTCATCTCAGGAAACCAGGGATGGGAGGAAAACAACATTAAAAGTGTCAGTGGAAAATAGCTCATGCATTATAGCTGGTATATGAAGTGCTCTCCATCACAAAATTCACTTGACCACACTGAGTGCTGCGTCTCTGAAGCTGTCAGTGGGTTTTGCTGGTTTTGCTTGGCTTTTCTGAAGGCCGAAAGAATTAGTTATCACCTGATTTTCCCTAAGCGCTACAAACATGCTGCAACTGTGAGGGGAACAAATCTACGTATCATATAGTAATGCTTTATAAAAAAGTTTGTTTAAGATATTCTGATTTTATGTGTTTGACATTAATGTACTTAAAAAAAAAATCACTTAATATTAGCTAATGAATAACAGAGAAATGCGTCATCATACTCACAAATACTGGTTGGACTCATTTCTTCCGATATCTGGACAGTTGATCTTCTGGCGAAGTATTCGAATGATGCAGATAAAGAGAACAAAATTGACCTGTGGAAAACATTTCAGAAGAGAGGACATGTTTAGGATAGTATTTTCTTAACTGGAACTGAATGCTGGTGGCAAAAAAATGCTTTAATCTATCATAAGTCATCTGGATTTAAGAATAGGGGTGTCCCAATACAACTTTTACATTTCAGATTCTAATATTGCAGCTTGGAGTATTTACAGATACTGATACTGAACCGATATGAAAACCATATGAATCATACATACTGTACTTTTATTACTTATTTTTTAATGTTTAAAAGTACAGTTAAAATTCAATCAATTTTTGGACACAAGCCACTGGCCATTAGATCCAGAAAAAGAGTTTAAAATCCTCCGTCTCACATAAAGCCCTTAATAACTAAACTCTTGCATCTTATATCAGGGAACTGATTTTTCCTTATGCTCCAGACACACTACTTCATTCTGCAGGTTTACTAGTGGTGCCATGGGCGTGGGTTTACGTAGGGACCATAGGGAGATGTCCCTCCCAAAATTTTGGACCGACCTACTTGTCCCTACCAAAAATTAGATGTGAATAACAAGTTTATAATTTACAATACAGCATGGTTGCAGCAGTAGAGGAGTTCTGGATGGAGAATATTGACAGACGAAAAAATGTTTTATCTAAAGTGGAAAATGTTTATACATTTTTTTTTTTACAATTTTGGTATAATTCCTGCTCTAAGTTGGTTGCTCTGTGAACTAAAGGCATCTTTTAGAGTCTCTATACTCCAGTAAATGGTTAATTGATTACTAAATTTGTTGACATTATTTCAATAACTGATTAATCCAATGAATTGTTTCAGCCCTAAATAAAATGCAAGAAATGAGTTAAACAGAGTAACTACAGCCTAGATATAGAACTTGTAGAGTGAAGTTAATATATTAAATGCTCAGTGTCAGTTCCTCTTCTAGTTCCAGTGCTCATGTAAATACAATACATTTATTTTGCGTCCCTTGAATCTATTATTTTGCTTTTTTTAATGATACAAAGAGAACATTTAAAAGATAAGAGTGGGTTTTACCTCTGTTTACCTATGCACAATTCTATATCTTCAAAATAAAAGAAAGTATAAATCCACATATAACAAACATATTTAGACTATATTCTGTTTAATAGGCACAGATTTACCTACTGTCTTAGTCGCTGGTAATTTCAAATGCAAACCTTTTCAAAGTGGAAAAAAGTCCTATTTCCCCATTCATCAGAACCAGTTAAGCTTCAGTCATTGATAAACAGCATCTAGTGTGTGTAGTGCTTATAAAATTTGTATAAATGCAGCAAGAAGTGCTGCTTTTCTCTTTAAACGAAATACACCCTTATTTTCAAGCATAAAAAAACAAGCATACATATTTTTGCATAGGACCGATGACATCAGACCAACAGTGTCCCTACAAAAGTTGAAATGAAACCTACCCCCTTGAGTGGTTCCTAGAATTTCTTAAAGTAGAATGGGAGGAGATTCTACTTTATTCTATCTTTTAGTTATCAGGCTCCTCTCCTGTGGAACCAACTACCAGTTTGTTTTTAGAGACCCTGTCTACTTTCAAGGCCAGGCTTAATATTTTCCTATTTGATAAAGCTTTTAGGTGGAATGATTTAGGTTATCCTGAGCTATCTCTATAGTTATGCTGCTATAGGCTTAGACTGCTGGAGGACATAGACACCATTTTTCATCCCTCATCTTCATTCTATCTATTCTTCCATTCTGCAGTATTTGTTAGTTAAGTGCCCAACTTTGTTCTCTCTACCTTTTTTCCTGCCATAGTAGCTTATTTTGGTTTGTTCCTGTTTTGCTGTGAAATGATCTGGAGAAAAATATCTGCTGCTGCCATCAACACATTTGTTTATAGAAGTTGTAATGGGGTCTGTTTTTGATCTGACGGAAAAGGTGAAAACGTTTTCTCTTCATGAGCATCATGTATTTAAAGTCGTTTTCTGAGAATTCAGAACCATCATTTAAAATGTTAGATTAAACAGGGGTAAAGAATAACCCTCCAGAAGCTACAGAAACATCCAGCTGGTATTGAACTGGATTTTTGTAACATTAGAAATGTTACAGTGATCTCCAAATCCCTCAGCTAGACAGTTACAAGGCAGCATCCATTTATTCAAAAGAAAACACAGGTGCTTGGTAAAATCTCCTAAAAACGTATGGGTGCGTTTGCTACGGTCTGTTGAAACTGAAATTACGCCTTTTGGCCTGATAATAAAAAACTTGTTTTTCCACAAAAACAGCACTGAGAATCACTAAAAGAATAAAATGTCCACTTTGTGACATGGTGGTGGCAACGTCATGCTCTGGGGCCTTCATTACATTGAAATGTTTTGATTTTTTGGCTAACAAAATAAAATTATGAACAGTCCCAAATAATAACGTCTTTTGATTTAAAAACATACTGCTGTCTGCTTGGAAGATTGAAATGGCAAAAAACAAAATTTGTGATTTTTTTCAGTTTTTACGGCACTAGTGGCTTGTTTTTCGACAGTAGGCTGACAGAAAGGGGGGTATGGGAGAGGGACATGTGGCAAAGGACCACAGGCCAGATTCAAACCCAGGTTTGCCACATCGAGGCCTCCGTACCTGGGTTGTGTGCGATAACTACTGCGCCACTTGCACACCCAATTTATGATTCCTACAATCAGTGATGGACAAAGTACTCAACAGTAGTACTTGAGTAAAAATACTGATACTTATAGTTAAATCTTACTCAGCTACAAGTAAAAGTTACTTGATCCAACATCTACTCAGCTTACAGTATTGTATTCGCTTTTGAAAATACTCAAAAGTACATGCATTTAAAAGTAAATACATATTTTAAATCACCTAATGTAATCTTTACATGACTAAATAGATCATTACTATATGATCTATTTAGTCAAAAGAAAGACCAGTCAGTGAGCTTTATGGGAAATCAAGCTAGAATATCTGTAACAGAAAATAGATAGAAAGTTCACCAAAGTGTTGGTGCTTGAAACTCCTCTGATAGTAAGACTTTCATTCATTTCACTCCATGGCAGCTCCTTGGCTTTGTTATTACAAAAATTGTCAAACGTGTGGACTTTGGTCTGTCTGACTTTATCAAATTAGGAATGTCATCAATATTTTTAAGTTAATGCATCATACGAGAGAGATGGAGAGTGTGATGAATGGTTAGCAGACATGTACTGGAGATCTAGAGTACACGTATTAAAAGGAGACTTACCAGAATGCTGCTGTACTCATTAAGCATTCACATCCAATGTTGAGCCTCTTGCCTCCAACAGTAATTTCAATTCATTGACTGTTTTCAGATCAAATTATCTTTATTTTTTATTTTATTTTCAATTCTGTAACAGTGCAACCACATCATTTACAGCTTTTTAAACTCATTTCACTGTACCGGTCCTTTAATTCTACTGCTCAGCTTTCGGTGATCTCCAAACTGGTAAAGTTTAATTTCTTTGTCTTCAATGTCTTTTCTGTGTATGAACAAGCGTGGGAATAATGGGGGCAATAATTATGCAGATTCACATTTCTTGAGGTTTATGAGAATGCATTATTATAAATGACTAAAGTTCAGAACGTTTGTTGAATCTGACGTGGCACATTCGTAAGAACCCATGGTAGGAGATAAAGTAAGAGAAAATATGATAATGTTGTTGCATGAGGCCCATCATCTCTTCTCGGCTGACATAAAGGAGAACTAAGTGTAATGGGGATATTTCTTTCAAGTAACAGGAGTAACAACACAAAACATGGTTTAAAACTAATTGACATGGATGGAAAAAAGATACTGGTGGTAAACTTACTAGGATTGATGCTAAAATGGGTGTTTTTATAATCCACCAGAACACGTCGGTGGTTTCGATAATGTCCCAGCACCTATTGAGCCAGAAAACAATACTAAAAACATGAAAAAATCAAAGCAAGAAAAGATTTTGCAGCTTCCTGTTGTTTCTCTCACCCTACATCATTGTAGTATGCTTTACCGATGCTCCAGGCTGTGATGATAATCGCTGGACCTCCTGGCGGCACAACAAATGGATATACAGTTAGATAAAACCAGAATCAGAAATAGGATTTCATTCCCATGAAAATTTTCTCTTTTCCTTTCTGCAGGCACTCCATAGCAGCATATAAAAACTCAATTCTCACCCCAGCCGATCATAATGTATGCCCAGAAATATTTCCTCTCAGAGAAGAAAGAGACGGCTAGCAATGCATGAAGATAGAGGCCTTCCACAAGCAGCCAGAAGAAACTGGCCATCACACAGTATTGAAAGAACACAATGACGGCTTTGCAGCCAACCTGGTAACACACACAAAACCAGAGGTAATCAAAAGGTAAATTCACATTAACAATAAATATCCAGATGACACAGATTTTTGAAAGACCTTGGATCATCATCAACACCATCATCTTTATTTGTGTGGCGCTTTAAAACAGCTGCGGCTAAAAAAAAAAAGGTCCTTAACATAGCAAAAAAAAAAAAATTATAAAACACAATTAAAGAACAAAATACAGCATTAAAATATAAAATAAGGCAATAATAAGAATTTATTTTAGCTAAATAAACAAGGTCACAACAACTAAGTCCTGCCAGTGGTAAAAGCCAGCGACTAACAGCTCGTCTTGAGCCGCGTTTTAAAATTCAGCAGGAGAGGAGTGTCTCTAATATGCAGGGGAGAGGCTTTACCATAAATAAGATGCAGGATTACACTAAAAAAAGTTTGCAAAACCTTGTATTTAAAAATTGTCACCAACTCTGACGCAAATTCAAACTCACAGGTGTTTTGGCTGCCAAAAAATCTAATTCATGAAAAGTAAGACATAGGTAAAATAATAAGATTTGCTCTTCAAATAGGTATTCAACTCATCTCTTCTTTTATTTTTGTCAGGGTTTTATTCTTGGACATCCAGTAAACATTATAAACTGATTATTAAAGCTTCTAAGACGTGATCTAAGAAGGATTATGTTGTTTGTATGAAAGATTCGCAGTTGGTGTGCTAAGATTAGGTAAACAGACCCAGATGGGGCATCTGAACCTTTCTAGAAGTTTAATGTATGCTAATCTGAACAAATTGTTTGTTGGAGCATGAATTCAAAAACTCTTCCATCACATGCTTCTGATGTGGATAGTTTATGCAGAACACATGCAAAAAAAAAACCCAACAAATATACATAAAAGACTGCATTGGCTACCCAATTCACTCTAATATTTATGTTTTTGATGTGCTCAATGATATCTGCTGCAAACTGTGAACTCAGCAGGAAGGGGTAAAAATGCAGTCCTGCACGCCTACACATATCCTCAGTGACATCAGCATAATAAATATAAAGGAATATAATGGAGCTAATGTGACGACAAATCTCTATATCACATTTTAAGGCTCTCTCTTAGATAGCAGCTACATCCCACCAACCTGAAAGGTTCAAAATTAAACTGGATGTTCTAAGTGAATACTGATGGATACTCTGTGGCAGGTCTTATAGGGTAGCCAGATTTTTAGACTGACATAAAACTCACCCCTGACTGCAGCCATCAGGGTCTCTGTTCTGTGGCTCCGTGCCACGTTTAGGGGATGACAGGTCAAGCTCAGAGACGCTACTTTACAACATACATGCTGTAACACCTTGAATACCCACTATGAAGTTATAAGGCAGCTAGAACTTTTCCTGATTTGATGCAAAATCATATTTTGGCAAGAAACGGGTCTCCTCCAACTCCTCTCTCTTGTGCTTTATATATCTTATATAAACAGGTAGCACTTGTTTCATTAACAGTATGTTAATTAAGGGCACTATTATTGTATTATTTCTGATCATCTGTAGATTGCGACCACACATACACAGAGTAAATCAGTCTTTAAATCAGATTAATGATAGATTAGTGGTAATGCACCTTCAACATCTGCTGAAATATATGTGCAGACTGAGATAACTAGAAATGTACCAAAGATACAGTTTTGCTTTCCACGTGGTATTTGCTCTTCTTAGTTAGGCAGCAAAAAAAAAAAAAGAACAAAAAAAATAATTTGGTTTGCCTTTAATGGACACAACAGAGTCCAGAGTGTAGGGTTAAAATACACCACAGTCCCATAGTAAAATGCATGCTGTCCAGAAATCTGGTAGCAACATCCCTGTAGCAGGCATCTTACAGAACCTCTCATTACTACACTATATTATCCTACATTAAATGTGTTGAAGTTGTTTTTCATAAAAAAAAAAAAAAGATATTTACTTTATTTTATCATACACTGATAACCTCATATTGGTATCTTATCATGTATATTTGCAATTCAGAAGATATTGATATTTGAAATGATTGGACATTTAAATTGTACTCTACTAACAGCATATACCTTGCAGGGGCCGATGTCCTGCAACTTTAAGACATGGCCCTTGTGGAGAACACAAAAATCCCCACTCAGCACTCAGTCAAGTTTTTCAGAGTGACACAAACATTTTTCTTTTCTGTAAAACTTACTTTGTGACCAATGTTGTCTTGGTTTATTTCAAAAATTATTCTAGGCCATTTATTTAATGCTCAAATTATACATTATAGATTATAATTAGGAATCAGAAAACCTATGGTCTAGGCATGAAACTCATTGGTACACCAAGTGTGACAGGTGATAAATAAAAACTAGTATAATTTACATAGCATCTTAGTTTTATTGATCCACCTACCCTACTACTCGTTATAAAAATCAGCACATAGTTTGTAAGTTTTAGGGGTTTTCATTTTGAATTTTTTTTTCCAAAAACAAACAAATGCACAAAAACATAAGTGAGTAACCAAACTCACAGAGCCTGGGGAGCAGTTGTCCACCTCACCAAACTCGTAGAGAACCACGTCCTTGATGAACACAGCAATGGCCTTCAGGATAAATGACACAAACAAATGCATGTGGATGTAGTTCCTTGTGCAGTGGAGTTTTCTGGGACAAACAGAGAAGAGAGACAAGAATACAGATCGAGGAAAAGAGACATGCTGACAATTTAATTAATGCCATCTAATTATCCAGAGCTCTTGGCGTTAATAGCAGAATTACAGAGTGAAATAAATCTAACTGAAAGCTCCCACTTCATTTAGATGCTGACTGATTGGATACTTTTCAGAGCACATCAAGTGCTTTACATGGTTCTCTTTTAAAAAAACACACAAAAGAGGTTCATTTTCAAATGACTAAACATTTTTAAAACTTTTGATTATTTTGGGTGACATCAACTTCTGATTACAATATAACAGCTTGAGAGATTAAACAATTAGTGGTGAAATATGAGAAGCTTTCTAACTCCTCAGAAAAGATGTCTTTTTTTTCTCTCATAAGAATCTTGATAATAAACAGCACTGAGATAGAACAAACAAGTGAATTAAGTTACATTTCTTGGAATGACTATATAAATAAGCATAATGGAAACCTCACATAAAGTATAATAAAGTAAAGATATGTAAATAACTGGCAATAATTTCCTATATGAACATCTTCTGTATTGCTCTCTGGTTCTCCTTTATATGATCTATTGTCTGGAGGTGTGGGGAAACGTATCAAACTAATCTGGATCTAATTAATATTATTAAAAGAAGAGCAATCAGACTTGTTTATAAAGGAACATACAGGGACTATACAAAGTTTCATTCCTCTAAAAGATTTAAAATGTAGGGATTCGATTTGATTGAAAATTGCACAATAAATGTATTACATTAAAGGGGTCATAGAATGATTATATAGGGTATTTGGTGTTGGTCCTTAAGGTCTC